GGAGCGGTCGGCGCAGTGGCGGGCCGCGCACGCCCTCGCCCGCACCACACTACACGTCGCACCACGGGCCGCAGCACACGCCCATGCTGGCCAAGTGGCACATCCCGCAGCACCAGCTGGCCAACGGTACGCTGCGTCTCTAATTGCTTTATGTATTCCAATTGTTTAGCTCCACCGACCTAATGTCTAAATCGTCAGGTGGGATTGATTTCACTCAGGCAGATTTTAAAGTATTTTGATCGTGGAACAGGTGGGTTCGAAGGCGGGACGTCGTCTGGTGCGGGCGCAGGCGGGGGAGGCGGCGCCGAGTACAAGATCACCCTGAGCAGGCAGCCGCAGCGCGCCCCGCACGCCGCACCCCCCACCCCCGTCGTCACCTCCACCAACCCCAAAACGCCCAGCCCCAGCCTCAACGTGAGCACCACCGCTAGCGCCGCACTCACCTCGCCTCCCGTGCTCGCCCTCTGACACCGCGCTATCTCTGTCCGGCAGGGCGGCGTCTCCTCGGAACTGGACAAGGTGTGCGCGGAGTCGGTGCAGGACCTGATGGCCACCATCGCCAAGCTGGACTCTAACGGCGTGCAAGTGGTGGCGGAGGGGGCGTCGCCTTCGCCCTCGCCCGCGCAGCATGTGCACTCCTCCACCGACGGCGAGATGCACCACGCTCTCACTCCGCAAGGTACCGCCTCTAGTCTCGCCTCGCCTCGCCAACCTTACAATTCATGAACTGTTGGACTTTACTTAGTTGAGTTTTTCTTTAAATAATTAGCGTCGGTGTTAGGTAAGTCGTCATGTGCGAGCGCAGTCGGAGGCGCGGCGGGCGGCGGCGACCCCAACGAGGACTGGTGCGCCGTGTGCATGGACGGCGGCGAGCTGATGTGCTGCGACAAGTGCCCTAAGGTCTTCCACCAGTACTGCCACATACCCACCATCGAGAAGTTGCCCGAGTGAGTCGCTGCAGTCGTTCTCACGCATCAGAACAGTAACAGCATGTAGCTATTTTTTTTAAATTGATATCAAAATGTTTTTGACACTGACATTTGCAGTGAGTCGGAGACGTGGCAGTGCCTGCTGTGCGTGAACTTCGCGGAGCTGCCGCCGGAGAGCGAGGTGGAGGCGGAGGCGAGCGCGGGCGAGCTGACCGGCCGCCAGCGCCAGCTCGTCGAGCGCCTCACGCTCGAGCTCTACTGCCAGTACGAGCTCAGTCTGCCCTTCCGCGAGCCCGTGCCCGCCCACAACCTGCACTACCACACCAAGGTGCGCCCCGCCCCGCCCCGGGCCGGCCCGGCCCCGCCCCGAGCCCCGCCCTCACCGGGCGGGCGGTGACGTGTGCGCGTGTTGTTGCAGGTGGCGCGGCCGATGTGTCTCGACATGATCCGCATGAAGCTGCAGCCGCGCAGCGAGGCGCGCTACACGCACGCCGCGCAGTTCGTCGCCGACTGCCGGCTGCTCTTCCGCAACGCATACCACTACTACACGGTAACTTTCACCGCTCTACATGTACGGCGTAATGTTGTACTCTCATATTTAAAAAGTTTAGCACTTTGTAATGTCTACCGATTACCTGCAGCCGGAGTCGCAGATGTACAAGGACGCCAAGAGGCTGGAGGAGTTCTTCGACGCGCAGCTGGTGAAGTGGTTGCCGGAGTACGCGTACTGGAGCGGCGAGGGCGAGCCCCCCGCCAAGCGCGCCCGCCTCGACTGACGCCACGCCCACCTGTGTCACATGCCCCCGCCCGCCGCCCCCCCCTCCCTCTACTTGCCGCACTGACAGGGGCGGGCATCACACATTCGTAACGTGACCTTTTAAATATTAATATATAGTTCTCATTCTTCCTATATAATGTGAAAAAGTTCCTTTCTGTTGGTACAGGTGAGGTGTACATCAAATAAATGATTCATTGATTATTTACATATAATGACTCGTGTCTACTCTACTCCGTGTGAGTATTGACGTTGAGGTATTATTACGATATATCATCACAAGTGAATAACATCTCATTTCTGTAGATAGATGTATGTATAGATTGAGTAGTGTTGCCTCGCCGCTCGTCGTGGATGTCAGCAATGTCTGCATCGCGTAGCTTCAACTTAAACTCATGATATTGTTATTAATGTGTATCAAATAAATATTTAAATAAATCACCAAATTGTTGGTGAAAAAATTATTTAAACATATATTTTCTCAATTATTCAGAGAAATATGTAGCGCCTTGTTGTAATAATTTTGCGTGGGTAAAATAATTTGAAGCCATGTTTAAAATATTTGTTGAATATTAATGGATGTTTTTAAGCGTTATAAAAATAAAAGCACAAAAGTGAAATGTAGGTAATGATATATTTTTGTACGCAAACTGGATACATGTCACTGGTTGACAGGACATTTATTATACTGCCAACTGTTTGTATGTTTATTATTATTATTATTAGCAAGAAAATATGTTATAAATGTTAAGAATTGCATAGGTAATAAATAGAATATGCGTTGCCAAATGATCTCGCTTAGAGTGAAGAACAGTCGGATAAACAACATTGCAGATAGCATTATTATAGGTTCAATGCACGCAAAGTGATCCGCGCTGACTATGTGTTTACACGACAAATAACAAATTACTTTATACAAACCTTGGCTTTCTGAGACCAAAATCCTCGTTTAAAACATACTGATGTCAGTTTTATCAAAGATAATGACAGGGATGACGATAGTTTTATACAGGTTTTGGTCTCAGAGAATAACGGTAAGTCTATCGCAAGTCTATTACTCCTGTGACATGACTGCGATCATCAAAGGTAAAAATTTATATATGGGATGTTAATATGTTATTCTTATATAAAAAAAGATGTGAATATGACAAGAAAGGTTTTCAATTAGTTTTTTTTCTTTATGCAAGATAGCATATTTTCTCAGAAGAGGATGAGATGTAATAAATGTGGCCAATATCGTTACACATATCAAATGTGTTATGTTGCTCTGCGCGGTGAACGTGTTATGTGGTCTGATAACACAGTGGCGCCACTCTGACACTCTTTACTTAGTCTCCTAGCTAATATTACTATACTGTAATAGAAATAAATATCACTTATTGGATTCTGTTGTTTTATTTAATTTCCCTGATAATCAAATATTCTCAACCATGGAAATCTTTATTAATAATTACTTCAAGTTATTTCTTCATGAAAATGCGAGCTTTAATGGCGGCGAATAATTTATATTGTAGATCTTTGGCATCAACAAAACGTAGTTAGAGTTTTAATAACATTGAAACATTGTTTAACAACAAAAGTTTGAAAAAGCAACATAAAAAGGGTCAATATACGTAATTGATTTCTTATAAGAATCCTTTTTATAGCAATACCGATTTTATATGTCACATTGATTTGGAATTTGCAAACTGTTTGACATTTGTCATTTCGCATTGTCCGACCAATCAGCGTTGAGGGTATTTATTTGCGCGGCAGTGGATTGGCCATCGGGTGACTGTTAAATTTCTACTTGCGTGGTAGAGAAGAATAGATTCAGCAAATGTAGAGCAGTGTAGAGGTGTTATCATTTGCACTGTTGTTATTATCACAAACATATAAGTCAGCAGGAGGACCGGGCGCATCACCCCTGTGCTGTGCAACGGTCACTACGAGCTAACTCCACGTAACACAACAACATTTCATCGCTCTTAATTCAATAAACAGGGTGAGTGACCTCCAAAAGAGGTTATTGACTTGCAAAATATTTATTTCTTAGATATTTTGATTCCATAAAAATAAAGTGTGTAACGTGTGAAATAACTGCGGTAATAAATTAAGTTATGTTAAAAATAGTGATCAATTAAGGGATGCATATTTTAACATTTTCTACTTTTTATAAGCTCTTTTAATTTTTATTTTATTAGGTCATAAATATTTTTAAAATAATTTATTAATTTTTATTGAAGCACAAAAATAGCCTACATTATGCATTTGCATGAGTGAAAGTAGTCTGTAACTTTAACTTTTTGAGGAAAAGAAGGAATTTCTTCAGAGATTTACCTCGACTGTGTTAGATGCACCGATATTTTCGTATCTAAAAAGAGCTGATATAATCAAGTGATTTTTTTTTCTTCAAAAATAATATGCAATTATTTATTTTATTCTAAATTTTATTAAAATGAAAAAATAATTTTAAGCGGCGATCGACTTCATGTTATTGATACTTGATAGTATTGTAATGTGTGTAGGGCAACGACTCGTTATCTAGAGCTTCGGCCCCGCGCCGCCTATCGCTGAGATGTAGAGGACCTCTTAAGTGTCTCTAAAATGTCAACAACGCGAATAAACAGATTGTTACGTTAATGATGAAATTGTATAAAAAATATTTTGTCTGAAAAAAAATTGTGAAAAATCGTTTCCACTGCAAGAGTCACATAGTGTGTGTAGAGAAGGCAGCCGCCTCGACGACCTCGTGCCCTTTCGTCCTGTCGTAACGTAGCGCCGGGCGTTGGAGGTCGCCGGTCCGTCTCTGGTGCTGACGTCACCACTCACCGCCATGTCCTTCCTAACGCCGCCAGCTGAGACGTGATCACGACAAAACGCGGTCATACCTGAATTAATTCAATACAATTTGTACATTTACCTTAATTATGTAAAATATTAGTCGAAACTTTCCTTATCATATAAAATAACTTGTACATACAATTATTTTTGGGATTGAATTAATAATAATCAATTAAGAAGACAAAGTCGCGGGCTTGATCCAATAGATGGTCCGCGATTCTTGTTTAAGTTAACGAGGTTCTACTTTTAAAATTTCAAACTTGTTATTGTAATATGCAATAGCTGCGACACGAAAAGTTCGATAACGTTCTGGAATACATGGATAACATTTTAAGACAATTTCTTTTTATAAAAATCTGCCCCTTTTCATTACTATCACAGAAACACCCCGTGATAATGAGTCCTCCTTTAGCCCAATTACACAGCAACTAATTCAATAATGCCCATATTTTTAGCATAGAATAGTTGCGAGCAACGTGCGCTACAAGACGACGACCGCATCATTTCCCAATATCAAACTCCTATATTTATACAAGCTTTTTAGAAAGTAATGTAGTGTAGTGGTGGCGCGCTCCGCAGGCGAAGAGCGAGTGCGTGCGCGATGCGGCTGATCATCCTGGAGGACGCGGACGTGGTGGCGGAGTGGGCGGCGCGCTTCGTGGTGCAGCGCGTGACGCAGTTCGCGCCGGGTCCGGACCGCCGCTTCGTGCTGGGGCTACCCACGGGCGGCACGCCGCTCGGCATGTACCGCCGCCTCATCGATTTCCACAAGCAGGGCCTCATCTCCTTCAAATACGTCACCACATTCAACATGGACGAGTATGTCGGTGAGACGCTGCCCCATTACTGACATCTCTCTCCTAAATAATTTATACATCATACATTATAAAATACCACTGGAAATTGCGCAGGTCTGCCGCGTGACCATCCCGAGTCGTACCACTACTACATGTGGAACGAATTCTTCCGGCACGTAGACATCCCGCCGGAGCACGCGCACGTGCTGGACGGCAACGCGCCCGACCTGCCCGCCGAGTGCCAGCGCTTCGAGGACCTCATCCAGGAGGCCGGCGGCGTGCATCTCTTCATCGGAGGTCTGTCTCCTTCGCTACCATTATCACGACGATGACTTGTCAAAACTATTTATAATTACTTCGGGCGAAGCGGTATATAAAATAGTGAGATAATGCGCAGGCATCGGTCCGGACGGACACATCGCGTTCAACGAGCCGGGCTCCTCGCTGGTGTCGCGCACGCGCGTCAAGACGCTCGCCTACGACACGCTGGAGGCCAACAAGCGCTTCTTCGGCAACGACATCAACAAAGTGCCGCGGCAGGCGCTCACCGTCGGCGTCGGCACCGTGCTCGACGCCAAGGAGGTACGCATCCTCCTACCTCCCACCTCTCACCTCGCACCTCGACAATTGTCTCTGTGTTGCATTGTATTGTCACGTTTCATTGTCAGGTGATGATCCTGATAACCGGGGGACACAAGGCGCTGGCGCTGGCGAAGGCCGTGGAGGAGGGCGTGAACCACATGTGGACAGTGTCGGCATTCCAGCAGCACGCGCAGACGCTGTTCGTGTGCGACGAGGCGGCCACATTGGAGCTGCGCGTCAAGACCGTCAAGTACTTCAAGGTGAGTGACCGCTCAGTCACCAGCCGGCACCCGGCGGCCGATACCACAAGGTCACTGCTCAGCTTACAACAGAATCTTGGGTAGAGAAGATGCAGCCAGAGGAACCGCATTGGATATTGTTCGATGAGTGAAGTGCCATGACCTCACTGAGCATTGTTTTGTTGTAGCAAAGTTCTGATAAATGGAAGATAAAAAATAATCTTGTAAATGAGATGTCCCGAATATTGAAGTAGTATGTAAGTCTCGTTGTGTAAACGTGTGGGATGAAGAACTGACTGCGTCCTTCAGTCGGTGTAACAGTAATTGTGATGCGGTGCATGGAAACACGAGAGCAACACTACTGCATGCGACACTGATATTGTCTCCTCACCTAACTGCTTTCTCCACGTAGTTCAGTGCTCGAGTGTGCATGTCTTTACAAACTAACAACATATGTTAATGTAATATCTAAAATATACAACTTGCTTTTACTCACCGTCTCTCTATAATAAATAAAAACAGACAGAAACACACACATTTATTGTATTACACATTGTATAATAAGTGGAGTGACGTCCTGTGGGCGGCAGTGGGCGGTGCGGGGCGCGTGGTGCGGGGCGCAGGGCACTCTGGTACGGCGCATGAGGAACCCCCAGGCTTAGCTTTATTCAAAGTGCACTTCTGTTTTCACACAATATTGATATCTTAACACTATAAGGTGATGAAATTGTTCAATATTGGTTGGTACTGTATGATGGAGTGGAGTGACGGGGTGGAGGGATGCGAGGTGTGTGCGCTGGCGGCTGATGAGGTAGTGTGACGTGTGCGGTGTGCGTGTGGCAGGCGCTGAGTGAGGAGCACCAGCGGATGATAGCGGACCTGCCCGTGCCGCAGCAGGCGCTGCTGCACTGACGCCCCGCCCCCAGCCCCCGCCCACCAGACCACGCCCCGCACGGTATCATGATATTTCTTTACCTCTAGACCACGTAAAATCTTGTCTAAATACAGTGAGCTGTCAACAAAGTAACGGCCGGCTCTGACGCCCTGCCGCTCCGTATCTGCGACGAAGACGACCAAGTAACGAAAATATTTATCGAATAATAGTGAGCCAGCGCCGTCCACTGTTACTTCCTGTCTGAGTTAACGTACGGCGTGTTTTGAAAACAAGAGTAGTCAGCCACCGACTACGAGAGAGCACAGACATAATTTTCAAGAAACCGGGAATTCTGGGGTCACTCTAGCAAACTCTACTTTGTCGTCCTCACATTCGGCAACTGATAACATTATGTATGAACTTGAGTTAATGTTACGTGTTGTGTAAACTAACACTGCCTTACATTGAACCATACCACATCATGTACGAAATATGTGTGAAACACTGAAAGAAGACAACTAGAAACAACACAACAGCGTCGTATGAAAGTTGTAAATTGACTTTGTCCTTGTGCTTAGTTGTGTACTTTTGTTGCAGAGCCTCATGTCTGAGCACAACAAGCTGATCGGTCGGTGAGGTCGGTCACTGACCACACTGACAACCTGTTCCTCCACAACTACTGCATACTACTTATTTAATGCATAACTTTTTTTAATTATGTAATTTTATCAATGTATTAGATTTAAGCATAATTTTAATGATCCAATTATTTTTATGTAATAAAAACGAATATCCAATATTTAAAAAATAATTTTAATTTATTAACAAACCTCTCATACAGTCCAGCTGAGCAAGAAACAAAGTATTGTAATATTTTATAATAAGGATAAAAATACTATAATAGCATAAAAGATTTCAAAACAACCTTATATTTTGAACACAAATATTTTTTTTATGAAATATATATTATAGTTATAACTGTCATATGATTGTGACATACACTGACTGGCATCTGATATTTTTATCTCTGTCCAAAATTCAACAATTTTTACATTCTATCTACTAAAACACAATATCTTTTGCATAAAAACCACCCGCTATATAAATCTTATGAAAGAACTTTATTCACACCGTGTGCAAGTCATTGCTTTTATCACTTAATCACTTTTTTAACTGCACTAACAATTCAAATACTTATTTCCAATATAACACTATATCACTATTAGTTTCATTAGTGTTTCATAACTAGCCCCCTAGGGCGCGCCTCCTAGGGCGGCGGCGGGGACATGGGGTGCGTCGGCGGCTACGCGGCACATGCGCGCGAGCAGTGCGGCCAGCTGCAGCGAGGAGCCGAGTCCGTCGGCAACGCGCATATGCGTCATGCCCACTTCGCGAACTAAGCCCAAACGCAGGTCCTCCCCAACAGCTAGCGTCTTGCACACTCGGAACATGTTACTTACTATGTCCTCCGCAGCATATCCCTGCTTAATGAGCTTTGCTATCACCTGCAATTTACAAAATATTTCTACTTACAAGTAAAGGGTAAAAAATAAGAGTTATTGAATGTTGATGGCTCAGGGGTTAAGCACTTGATTTGTAATCTGCAGTTTGGTTTTAGGTTTGAATCCCACCATGTACAATGAATTATCCAACATTGTTACAGTGAAGGTAAACATTGTTTTACAAACTGCTCATATCTGCAAAGAAATTCAAAGATATGTATCAACCAAGCTGCACTTGGCCAGCGTGGTTGACTATGGCCTAATCACCCCTAACTTAGGAGGAGGAGGAGGAGGAATAGTGAGGAGGAGGAGGAGGAATAGTGAGCTGATGAAGAAAGGGTAATGAATGTTTGAGGCTTTTTGTTAGTAATATTGTAGTCTCAATGGAGTAGTACTTTGTAAGCTTGGTGTATGTCCTGTCGCGTGCAGGCCTCCAGCATAGTGCGTACGAGCATGGGGTGAGGTTCGTCGCACACGCGGAAGACGTTGTCGGGGCTGACGTGGCGGCCCGATTGCGCTGTCGCCTGCAAATTGTTGAGCGCCGCGCGAAGATCTCCTTGTGCTGTGAACACTACTGCATTCACACCCTCCTCTGTGTATGATAAATCTTCCTTTCTGCACACTTCTATAACCTGCAATTGGAAAATATAATGTTTTATGATTTTACAGATCCCACTGATTCTTTCTCGCAGATTAGTACTTGTGTCAAACAACCTGTAACATCCCTTAATAACTGTAACATTAAATACAAATTACTTTATAGTTGTTACATCTATAAAATCTACCTTGGCGAGTATCTGAGCGTCAGTGAGTCGAGAGTAGCGCAGCACGGCGCAGCGCGACTGTATGGGCTCTATGATGCGCTCACTGTTGTTGGCAGCGAGCGCGAACCTCGTCGTGTTGGCGTACAGCTCCATAGTGCGCCGCAGCGCTTGCTGGGCCCCCTCCGTCATACTGTCTGCCTCGTCCAGTATCACTATCTTGTGCCGACCAGGCGGCAGCGTTACCTGTTCCAAGCAAGCATTACATCAACAATAGTGTGCGACTAAAACTATAGTTTAATTTAAAACCAGTATATACCTTTTGTTGGGCAAACATTTTTATTTTATTACGCACGACGTCTATACCGCGGTCATTAGACGCATTCAGTTCCAGCACGGCATCGCGGAAAGCTGCACCGAGCAGAGCGCGAGCCAGGCATAAGATCGTTGTCGTCTTGCCGACGCCCGGGGGACCCGCGATGATGATGTTGGGGGCATTGCCTGTCCGCGCAAACACCGCTAGCCGCGATACTGTGTCCTCGTTGCCCACGATGTCTTCAAAAGTTTGCGGCCTATACTTTTCTATCCATGGTAGCAATCCAAGTGGTTTACTTGGCGCCGCTATCGGTTTTTCGATTTTTGGTTCTGCTTCGTCTACCTCCATAACAATCACGTCGTCGTCACTCATTTCAAATAAAGGCAAAATTCAATATTTTAATACTAAAGGATTTCAATAATGTAAAATTCGCGGGCAGAGTTGAAGTTTGGTCATTGATGGCAAAGTCAATTTGACATGGGAATCGACAGTTCGAAATATACTCTTTGGCTCGAAATCTGCTAACAAATTACAAAGAGTAAGCGAGTGCTGAGACTCTCTGTATTTATTTAAAACCATTTAAAATTTTTGTTGTGGTGGGATATTTATTGAAAATTACACGGTTTTAAGCATTTACAACAGTGATTTGTAGAATTAATCTTAAAATCAGTACAATCCAGAATATTTTTTTTGACTATAGGTGCTTTAGTCTATATTTGTGGTTTTTTTTAATTAAAAAAAAATTCACTGTCAACCTGTCAACTGTTGTCAAAGCCATGAATGAAGTTTGTTATGTCATGTGTCAGTTGCTTAATTTTGTAAATGGTGACGACATTATTTTGTATAAGTTGTTAAACAATTTGATGAAACTGAAATAGTGATGTGGTTAATAAATTTATTATAGTACTTAATTTAGTGTACAATTCTTAACGAAAGATTAGTAAGCTGTAGTGTTGTAAAATAAGTCAGAAGTAGAATTAGTCATTGAACTAAATTAAATAGAAATTGGTGAATCATCAATATTCTTGACTTTCAGCTTTAATAAAGTTTTGCTAAAGGTGAATTATCAAAACAAAATATAATTAAGTGCATGTCACAAAATTTAGTGTATAGTAATAACGCTATCAGAAAAAACTTGTGTTTACATTTACCTGTTTGCAATTGCGTATTGTATTGTTTGTTTGTGTACTGTAAAAGTTTATACATCTGATAGCCTTCACATTAACAATGAAATAGTCTCATAGACATAATTTATATTGACAATATAAAACTCATCTGGTTGGTTACCCTTTATAAAAGTACTTGATTTTATATAAACTGTTTGCGTAAATTAGCTGTTATTTAAAAATCCTGTTATACTTTGTTGTTGCTCCACTGAGAAGGAAACATTTACATTTGTGGTTTGTTGTCTCATGTTCATTTTGTATACCATACTTACATACAACTTTATAAAAATATACGATGACTATAAAATAATTTTTAACTCCATTTTTTGCTTTTCTTCAAAAAAGAAATCTTGCCACAATAATATTTATATATAATTCACAGACCACCAATAATCCAAAAACCCGAAGTGGTATATTTGAAGGAAGGATTGATGAAATGTTACAGGTGTGTTGAGTTTTTTTTAAAATGGAGTGGTTATTCGGTCACCGCATGACGCCTGAGGAGATGCTACGTAAGAACCAGCGTGCCCTCAATAAGGCCATGCGCGACCTTGACCGGGAGCGCCTCAAGATGGAACAACAGGAGAAGAAAGTTATTGCTGATATCAAGAAGTTGGCCAAGGATGGACAGATGGTAACTCTTCAAGAATTGTTAAATATTTTAGGAAAGATCTTTTAAGTTTGTTGGATTATTGACACTTAGCATTAAAATAGTGGATAGTTTTATGATTGAAATTAAAAATTAATTGTATATTTACTGTTGTAGGATGCTGTGAAAATAATGGCGAAGGACCTGGTGCGCACGCGGCGCTACGTGCGCAAGTTCATGCTGATGAAGGCCAACATTCAGGCGGTGGCCCTCAAGATCCAGACCCTTAAGTCGCAGAGCACGATGGCGCAGGCAATGCGCGGCGTCACACGCGCCATGGCCACCATGAACCGCCAGCTGAACATGCCACAGATACAGAGGATACTGCAGGTCAATGTTTAACTCTATTTTAGTGGTACCATGTGATATGTGTTAAGATAAGAGTTATTTATTTATTTGGAGAAACAGTGTTCTTTATATCTCAAAATGTTGACAAGATATGAATGTTGATGTATTTCAGGAGTTTGAGAAGCAGTCGGAAATCATGGACATGAAGGAGGAGATGATGAACGACTCAATCGACGACGCCATGGAGGCGGATGATGACGAAGACGAGAGGTGAGCATCAGTGCAGCAATACATCACCTAATGTGACCGAGCAACAAGATGCGTTTGGTCGGTTGGTAAATATGTGTACTTAATGGTGTCGTGTTGTGTTGTGTTGCAGCGACGCGGTGGTGGCTCAGATCATGGACGAGCTGGGGCTGCAGGTCAACGACCAGCTGTCCGGACTGCCGCAGGCTACCGGCTCGCTCTCCGTGGCCAGTGAGTCGCGCATCTCCCTGCATACAGATAGAGGTGGTACTGTTTGCGATGACTACAGTGTGTACTTGCGTGTTGCAGGCAAGCAGCCGTCGGCGGTGGCGGCGGGTGCGGGCGGTGCGGGTGGTGCGGGGGGCGCGGCCATGACGGACGCGGACGCAGAGCTGCAGGCGCGCCTCGACAACCTGCGCCGCGAGTAGCTCCCCCCCGCAACACATATACACTGTAGCGCTCTGTGCGAGTCAACGCTATGCTAGTAACGAATATCATTCACACGGAAACTTAACTAATACTGCATTTTATTTTATAATTAATGAGGAGATTTCAGTCTAGGACAATTCTTTGTTCTATTCGTTTTGAAATAATGTTGAAAACCGATTGTCGGTCCTTCGAGTCGGATGCAACGTAAGGATCTAATGCAAATCTAACAAATTATAACATTACAATTTCAAACGTGAATGTATATTTTAAGATAACAATCTTCTATTTAAAAATATAACATGAATGTGCTTCAAATGTCATGTTAACAGTAAAACGCTATTGTATGAAAATGGAATAAGGAACTGTTGTGACATGTTACTAAATTAAGGTTCACAACAAAGTACATCTGCGACAGATTTGTCGTGTCGTGTCGTGTCACGTCACGTGGCGTGGTGTCGTGTCGTGTGACGTCACGTGGCGTGGTGTCGTGTCGTGTGCGTGTTGTTGTAACGTGGCTGTATTTTGTCTGCGATATGTTTGTAAATAATAGATTATATTTATATGAAAATATTCTTATTATGTTTTATTTATTTACTTACCTCAATATCAGATAAATGTCTAGCTGTCACCCGCGACTCCGTCTCTGTTCCTCCACACTACGCTATACCATTATATCTATGACAATTTTCATGGAGATATCTTCTAACAAACATCCATCGATGTTAACTATCGCATTAATAATAATAGTAAGATTGAAAAGAAACAAATAATAAGGGTACACATATTTATTTGGAAAAATAGTCGATCCTCCTAGCGAGGCATATACAAAAGTTATATATAACATGTACATACAAAGACATGTTGTCACACAGACAGCAACCACTCGCCAGGTAACAAACACCAAATATAATTTACATTAAAAACTGATATTTTAATTCTAACTACAAATAATACGTTACTATATAAATATGTAAACATATAAGTGAAGTAGGAGAATGTAAAATGTTTAAAAATATTTAACTTTGTAGTAATATGTCATGTCATGTCTTTATGTCACACAAGTGACATAGATTGGAAGATAAATGTATTTATTTATGTAGTGCAATATTAGTTATATTGACTAAATGTTTGTCGCGATATGTCTGTCCGTCCGTCTGTCTGTCTGTCTGTCTGTCTGTGTGTGTGTGTGTGTGCAATGAGCGCGCAGACAACTGTATCTACTCCACTAATTATATACTTACTTATGTAATTAACTTTGTATTTATATAAACAAATATAACGAACAATAAGAGATTACACATCACCATTAACTTAATCATTATAAACACAATTTTAACATTATCATGAAATATAAATACAAGTTTTGAAGACATTGACATATAAATAAATAAATGTTTTTTTTTTCAATTTAGTTTTGTGAGAAAATAATAAATACATATAAAATGCTTTGTTTTACCTTCATGTGATAAAACAATACTATACAATTAGTGCCCGCACTAATGTACAGTTTACATCAAATATCTACAATAACTTCGCAAACGTACATCAATAATCATCGCATCGACAAATAAATTATATTGTCGACGTTTATATTTTAATATTCGTGTTAATATTTATTTATGCATAGACTTTTATAGCACATAAAGTTATTTTTTATGAACTCGACACGTTTCTTGTAGGGAATGGGCAATGTCTAGTTTGGTCTTATATGTTTAGCTATAAAATGCACATAACGAAGTTCAACTCTATTTAAACAAATTTAATTCTTTGTGCTTGTGTCCTCAATACTGTTTACATAGGACTCCGTCAATAATATTGTAATTGATTTTAAATGTTCCCGCCGAACGATATTTAATAATACGAATATATATTTTTATTGCAATATCCCAATTTTATAATCGTTCAAAAATTCATTTCCAAAGAGATCGTTGAAATATTGTGCAGATAATCCTAACAATTGCACAAACTTTTACTTATACCAAGTTTTTAGAATGTTTTACTAGCAAGCCCAGTTCCAGCTGAGTTGATTGTAATAAAAATTCTCAAATTTTAGTGCATTTTGGTGCCTTGCTTTATTTGTCACTTACTGTCCTACTCCATTTAACTTTGAGTGCGGCAGTAAGTCACTAAACTATTACTAGGTAATAGATTGATATTTTCTACCTAAACTACTCATTTGCCAATTTGTAAACGTATTAAGAACGCACTTCGCCCTGTCCGACCCGCAGAGCGCGGGCACGGCATCAGCCATTTTGGCACATTGTTCTAAAAGCTTTGCCTAGACAACACATAAATGAAACGGTCTATACGCACTGAAACATCTGAAGCAACATCTTGGTTAACCTGCTATTCCGATTCACAATATCGCCTAATTAAAATATACTAAGCTATATTTTCCCCCGTAAAGTAGTAGCGGCGAGAAAACGCCATTTAAAATTTAAACGGTTTCCCGCCTACACATCGCACAGAGTAGCACATCATCCTCCCTGTGCTTCATGTTCCCGCGCACAGAGACTGGAGGGTAAGTGCAGGAACATATTCAGAGGAGGGGATTCACTGCTCGTGCTGCTGCGCCTCCGCCGGCTTGAGCGCGCTCAAGGCGATCAGCAGCTGCCCCAAGTAGTAGGTGGACATCACCAGCACCTGCCGACCACCATCATGTCATTAATACGAAACTACGGGCTGTGAGTGCAATTAAAAAGCTCAATCTCAATCGTCGCTCACATTCTTGTAGGGCAGGGATCCGCCGAAGAGGCTGTAGCCGAGCAGGGCGTCCGAGATGGCGAAGAGCACGGCGCCGGCGCGCTGCGGGCCGGGACGTGCGGCTCCGCGCCATGCCATCGCCGCCAGCAGGGCCGCATACACGTGCACGAGAATGGCGAAGGGCGCCAGCGCTGCGGGGCGCAACGTGCGCACATACAGCGCCGCTGCCAGCGCGGCCAGAGCGCCCAGCCCGGCGCGCCTCGGCCGCAGACCGAACGCAGCGATGTAGGCGACGTGCGCCGCGCCGAACATGACGATGCCGACCGCCAGCAGCCGCGGCCATACCAGCGCCGCGTCTCCAAGCGCAGACAGCGCCAGTCCCAGGCATACGAAGCGCGCGTACCGGCCCCTACCGCAACACCATATAGCCGAAGACACATTATAAAGCGGAGCCCCTAACGTATATTTACTCGCCTGTAGCGATACAGAATATGGAAATGAGAATTCCTCTTTTTGGTAGTCCCTGTACGATGGTTCAATGAACGTTGCAAACGTATCGTCGTTTTCGATATATAAAGTGTAGCATTAAACATACAACATGTTGTACACACGAACATAGAGTGAACGCATTCATGCTTGCTGCAGACGGTGCAAGCTGATAACACAGTCGCCGAGCGGTGCGCTGCCCTCGTAGATAACAATCGCAAGGAGTATTTAATGCTTTGTCTTCTTATAATACTAGTCGATCATATTCACGTCCCGAAACTTTGGCAATAAATGTTGAATGTGTGAATTGGATGACAGCTTCAATGTAATTCATGTGGTGTAATAGATCACATTACGGTGAAGCTGTTATTTATATTATATGTTACGTACACATAATTAAAACAATTTTTTATGCTGCATGCATGACAGTGTTGTCCGCAACTTGGCGTTAATATAGCTCAGCGGCATATTATACACGTCGTAGACACAGGGGAATAAACTGCAAATAATTAAATTTATTTATTGTGTCCGATCGTTGAGTGTACATGTGTCGTGACGTGAGGTGTCGCGAGCGAGCGAGGTGCTGAGGACTCACCGTGCCCCCGCGGAGTAGGCCGCCTTGTAGAGCACGCAACCGAAGAGGCAGATGACGGGCGCGCACTTCAGCGCGGCGGTGGTGGCGGAAGGCGCGCCGGCGCCTAGCAAGAAGTACACGCACACGGCCTTGAAGAACGGCACCAGCTGGCCGCTCACGCCCGCGCGCTTCATCTGCGCACCGCCACCATCAGACGTTACATTCTTTGTCATCATCCTGCCGCTGAACATCTTCCGGCTGGAGTTACCAACCGCTTCGATACCAGGTATCCAAACCGAGCTACGAGCACACAGATTCCGAGTCCTGAATTTTATTTAAGATATACTTCCTTCAAATTCAAAACGATACTTCAGACGATTTAATATTTCAATAACAATTTACAAGAGACGTGCACATAATTTAAGGCTGAAGGCTTGCTGGGACGAAGGGGGTGGCGAGCGGTGGCGGGAGCAGGTGGCGGGCGTGCGCAGTACGCGGCGCCAGGCCCGGCCGCCCCGGCTTGCAGTGCAGCCATACACAACTATTGCATTACTAGTAGGTACATCCAACTGGGTAGCTAAAATGTTTACACCTTTTTTCACTATCGGAATTAAAATCCTTATAGTTATTCGAGGCTAGTCAAAGTTAGCGATGAATATTTTTATTTGGGGGACAACAGAAATCTTATCTTTGTAAAGGGCATTTATAATATGTTACACTTTGTTAGGTTGTTGCAAGTCCTAGCGGCTCTGGCGATGACGCTGCGTAACTCAAATTTCTTTAGGATGTCGCAACTGTATGAACATATGCAGTGAGTTCCATAATGATACCCCATATAAATGATATTTTGCTTTTGGGGAAGGGAGGTTAACATAGTCGTGTAATTCGCAAACTTGTGGCGACCATTTTTGTCCAGCGCCCTGGGCGATCGCCCTTCCCTAACGCCGGATCTGTACGGTACAATTGATTAGAGCACAGACGGGCCGGGCGGCCGGGGCTCCGCTGTCGGCGGGCGCTCTATAAATACCAGGCCCTCGCCCCGCCCCGCCGCCGCCGCCGCTATCGCCGGCCATGATGCTCCCCAATCAATGCGATCGATGCAATTACTGCTCCGCGGGGGACGAATACATACTCTATCTACTCTTTGTATATCTCTACCAACTATAAACAGACTCTGCTTATGTTTTGGTATCTATTCACCACCAATCACCTTGTTTGCTAAATATGTATAATATTTTATTACAACAGTTTATAACGACCCATGTATTTATGTGAGGGTTAGTCTAAGCCATTGGACAGTAACATAAATATCTTGGTATAAAACGCAAATGAACTTACGATTAAACGTTAAAGAGTTGCTTTGTATATACATCCGGAAAATTAAAATACAATACAATGGTGTTATCTATGCAAATTATCTCGCAGGCGTTAGAGTCGCCAACAAAAGGCACCTTCTGATGACCTGCGCTAAATGTGCTGATAAAGCTCGCTCGATTCTTTACTTAAAGGATAAATCGAACGTTATTCATAGGTATTAGGTATTAGATTAGATCGGATCTGACGTAGACAGAGGTAGAAATTATAGTCACTTTACACTAAAATAATAACGTTGCAACAGACAATAATCAAGCTCATTATTCACCGAACTCCACTAAGATCAAGTGTCCTTGTATGCGAAATCATGTTAAGTCATTGCTTTGAATAAAAATCTGACGGCGACAGTGGTTGCAAATACTAGTTATAAATTAATAAGGTAAATTAGTAAAATAATCATTATTTTGTTTATTGTTCCAATTCTTTTGTTCAATTTTTCCTTCGATCGCCTATCTGAATAACCGTGTCCATTATAACATGTGTAAAATATAGTAGATGTTAGGGCGCAGTAATAACGCATGCGGAGAGTCCCTGCTTACGGGCTAACGACCAATGACTATGGTCGGTCGATATAAAGCAAGCCACGTGCGGACTCAGTTGACGAGTACAATGCGCGGTAAGGAAAAGGATTATCGCTCAACGCATGCGCTAACAACTAACGATACTACTAGAGAGTAAAAAGTTACAAAAAATGTACGTAAACAGATTTAAAGGAATGCCAAGTAATAATGATATGAAGTTCTACCAGATTATAATCAGCTTATAATGAAAATAATCACACGTAGCACTAATCGTAAACGAACTAGTGCTAATTACTTATACCATTGATAACAAGAACAAGGTAAACTTGTGTCGTCCTCTGGAATTACTGCTCTACATATCTACGCATGTAGAAAGCCGACCGGTTATTCTATAACCTGCTGATGAAAAATCAAATCTATCGCCTCACATACTAACTGGAGGGTACAATTGCAACCCTTTCCTGGGCCCGGCGCCCATCAGGGATATTGTATGGTAAATCTTCCTCCTATATCTATTGTAAGCAGCATATTGATATGCAATAAAAAATGTGTAGTCGCGACTTGGTTCAAACAAAACGAGCTCGTCAAACATTTAGGGTATTAGAACGCGCTTTAAAATGCCATTTATTAAGTAGATTGAAACGAACAAAGACGGCAGGAATTTTCCATTGGAGGTTTAAATATTTTGCGAATAAAGTGCCCCAAGCGGACGTAGTATATTTGTAATGTCTGTTTTCATTTAAATTTTTTGTTCTTTATATAGACGTCAGGCGTTCGAAGGACGTAAAATTTCGTAAATAAAGAATCGTTAAACTCTATGTTGAAAAGAAAAAAAGATGTTTTGTGTTTACATTGATCATTGGCACACGATTGCATCGTCATCTTACATTGAATATACCTCTGTTGTTTGCGAAAACAATGCAATATCATATATTCAATCTAAAGTTAGAAAAATAAAAATATGCGAACCGTGATACGTTACGGAACTATGAAATAGTATACCTACAGATGCGGGACATATTATTATGCTTAGCATTTATGGCAGTAAATAAGGTATAAGTATTAGAAATAGGTGTAATTGTGTATAATTGCAAGATATCCAGATTGCGTTTATATTTGAAATTGCATATTTTAAATAATAAATGAAAACACATTATTTTTTTATTTTTATCTTCATTTTAATCCTTGTTAGAAACTTTTAGCGACACAGTGGACACTAGCCACCATTGCAATTCATATTTCACATTCGTGGCAATTACAATATTACTAATGCAAATCAGAATCTGATAGAAAATCCGATCTTTTTATCTTATTGCAATTGTGATTTATTGCATCTAAAATGTTATAATAATCATTCGGAACGATGTTGAATGCACATAATAACAATAAATTAGATCACAAACTCACCAGATCTCTAATTACCAACATGATTCAGATATGAGACCTTATTTTCTTGGAATATTCACGTTTGCATCAATATTAAGATAACACGCAAATGCAAAATAAATAGTTATAGCAATCGGCAACGGCAATAGCACAGTACTTCAAAAGTGAAAATGCAAAGCAAACAAATATTTATTTTGATGCAAAAGCCCAATGACAACAAGGCACTGTGCTGCCAGGAAAATAAAAAAAGTTTTTGCCCACTTTTATTTTTAAGATTTTTAAGTTTTCCTGCTTTACATAAAATCTATGAACTAATCGTAGACCACCAATGGCTCGTAAATGAGTGTTTTACTCTTACCCTCTTACCACACAAACGGATTATTTTATTAAACTATTTTAAGTTCTAAAGCTGAAGTAAATGTGGATTGAATCTGGCAATACTTTTATATCGAATGTCACTTTATCGTGGGCGTCATTTGTACAATTGACATATGACATATGACTACGACTTTTGGAACGGTAGCGAAGAGAAAAAAGTGTCAAATTATAAGAAAAGCAAAAGTCTTGCGATTTTTAACTTTGTTTTATAATTTGTTTACATTTTACTTGATATAATGCCTAAGAAAAAGACGGGTCAAAGAAAAAAAGCAGAGAAACAGAAGCAGAGACAAAAAGAAATTAGGAATGCCAGGGAACACGTAGACATAGCCCAGCACCCTTGTAACATGCCCATGGAATGTGATAAATGCCAAAAGTAATTACATAGTTACATGTTTTTGTTATTTGTATAAACGTATAATACTAATTAGTTATAAAACTGAGAACACCCATTGAATCACTATTCAATGTCTTAAGTTTACGCAGACTAGGTTAGAAAATGTCGTTCTTTTAAAAAATTCGATTGATTGGGACGTACAAGAAAGAAATTACATATGATCCAATGTGATGTATAAATTGCAGGAAACAAAAGAGCCGCGCCTTCTGTTACTTCTGCCAGGCGCTGCAGCGGTTGCCGGCGTGCGCGCACTGCGGGAAGGTAAAGTGCATGCTCAAGTCCGGGGATTGCGTCGTGCGACATCCTGGGGTGTTTACCACAGGAATGGGAATGGTGGTATGTATCAACTTTTACCTAACCTCTGCTTTTGATACCATAAAAAAATTACCAAGTATTAAATAATTTTATTATGGTAAAGGAAATCAATTATTGTTTTTTTAATTTTTAAAATTTTACCTAAACAAATGCATGTTATGTTACTAGGGTGCAATCTGTGACTTCTGTGAGGCGTGGGTGTGCCATGGGAGAAAGTGTCTCCAGGCACATGCCTGCACATGCCCACTCACTGATGCTGTGTGTCTTGAATGTGAAAGAGGTACGTTAATAGACTTTTGCTCCTTTTTTTTTAAGAGGGGGAATGCGTTACGCATACCGGGGGCCTCGGGGAAAGCCACTCTGGTTATGTGGGACTCTCCACATCCCTAAAGGGACAAGGAGCCTACCCACTAAACCTCCCCTGGTTCCCTCGACTCACTGTTTACCAGGGTGTGGGCACATGTGAATACTCTTCGCACACAAAGACTTTTGCTCCTAGTACAATTATATAAAGACCAATATGAGTAATTTTTGAAAGCAAAACTGAGTGTTATTAATCCATTTCCCTTAGGCGTGTGGGAGCATGGTGGGCGTGTGTTCCGTTGCTGCTTCTGCCAGGGATTCCTCTGTGAGGATGATCAGTTTGAGCACCAGGCCTCCTGTCAAGTGCTGGAGTCAGAGACATATAAGTGTAAGTTGCGTGTAATAATAAAAATAAAGAACTATTTTACTTAATTGATCATTCACATATTTTCAGTACAAACTATTTTAATTGTTTGTACATATTTATTAATCAATGTCTATTTTGGTTCAGGTCAATCATGCAATCGCTTGGGTCAGTATTCGTGTCTCCGCTGCAAGACCTGCTTTTGTGACGAACACGTACGTCGTCGCGGCACACGACCCGACCGCCGCGCCGCGCCGCCCTGCCCAAAATGTGGTTTCGCGCTACTGCTCACTGGCGAACTCAGCATGTCCAGTCAGTATTCACATCCATTTAGTTTGGATTAATATTTTTTATTTTTTAGTACCACTAACAATATAATGTTTACAGCGCGCTCACATCGTTACGGTAGGCAAGGTGCTCAGCCGGCTGATGATGATGATTATGGCGCTGGTGGATATACTGGTGAGTCACAATATTTTAGGAGTTCAAATACATTTTATTGTGTACCTCTATGAACTGCAGAGTATATTTTTTTACTGATGAATAACTGTATTGTCACTTCTTTGTCAATTCTACAAAACTATGCTTTGCAGGTTATGAGGCAGCCGCTGAAGGAGGTGACTACTCCTACTCCTGCTCCGAGTCAGACGACGACGACGACGACGATGAGGAGGACGACTCCGAAGAGCAGGAGTCTGATGACAGCGAGCAGCCCGACGCTGCTGCCACTGCGTCCGGCAAAAATGCTTAATAGCCTCATACACCTTCCAAAACATTGTATTCAAAATTATTTAATATATAGTAAAATACTATACTTACTCTACCCTTAGCGTTTTCTTTTACATTATAAACAGATTTGGAAAAACGGCGACATTCATATTTTTATTTTACTTTTAATATAAGTATAGTTCGTCGTAAAACGTCGTGATAATTTAATTAATCAGTAAAGAGAAGCACCATATTCATAGTCAGTAATTTAAAATAACTAAAAGTATGATATAAATAAAATATTAAAAGTATAATACACTTTTGAGTATATAGTCAAAGGGTAAAAAGTACGTGAAATACTTTTCAAAAAGTATTTTTCCCGCGTCGTTACAAAAGTGTTGTCAGTATCAATTAAATCTTTCTAAATTTATAAAGATTGAACTGATATAATTAAGTAAAAATAAGTACATATTTAAATTATTACAGTTTCGTAAGATGAGTATTTACATGTAGTTATAAATTTTGGTGTGTGAAGTTTTTGTTGCATCATTTACCAGTTACCCAGTTACCAAAGCGAAATAATTTTTATATCTGGTAACATTCACTCGACTATCGCATTCATTCGTGACAGCGCAACGACAACGATTGCCAATTATGCTCTGAAACGAAAATATTAGTGTTCATTTTTTATCCGTTTACAAATCGCGTAGTGATAAGCGCCGATTACGTCCTGTTCTAAAAAAAATCCGTCCGTGTTCGCCGACAAGTGCATGGAGATGAGACCGTCGCGCGGCGGTCGGTGAAAGTGGTTTGTGATTTTTGATCGTGTCTTAGTAAGTGCAAGTGTGTGAGGATGGGCGTGGGGCTCCAGCCGCTGGAGTTCACGGAGTGCCTGGCGGACAGCCCGCACTTCCGCGAGAACCTGCAGCGCCACGAGAAGGAGCTCGAGCGCACCAGCCAGCAGATCAAACGCCTCATAAAAGAAGTCAAGGATGTCGTACAAGCTGCCAAACGTAAGTCATACGGCCTCTCTCAAAGGTTTCAAAGGTTTGCTAACTCCAATACTTAACCGTATTTTCCTATTCTATACAAAAAAAAATCCATGCAGTTTTGAGTCATCAAATAGCTATTTCATTGTTGTAACAGTGGTTGAAAACAATATAATTTTTAATATTAATTTGATGACATGACCCAGAATATTTATCTCATATGATTTATAGTAAGTATGGCAGTTCTATGTGGCACTTGTAGAGGTGATAACAATGCAAGTGGGACGGAATGGAGGTGTGAATCTATGTGGCCTTGTGGCTCTCTTGTTATGTAACCTTGTAATGGCTGTAGCACATATTGACAATGTACATCAATACATTTACTTTTGTTATGCATATAGCTTCAAAGTCTTACATATTTAATTTTTTAAACAATTTCTAGAAATATTTCCATTTCAATATATTTTACATTTTAAAATATACTAAACAATTTTCTAATAAATTGCCAAATAAAACACATTATTAAACAAAGAGATAGCTATAGTCTGTAGCATGTATGTGTCAATTTGTTACTGTTATCTGAGGCAGGTGAGTCATGCTTAGTTCATCAGAGTCCATAACGAACACCCACTCAGCTAAAACTTAGCGAATAAAAGTTGAGGCAGACCATGTTAGGACAGCTTATCACTGTCCACCCTTGCCTTACTGCTGCAAGCCAATAGATAGGTTATTTGTGGTCTCTTGTACAAGCCTTTGTTATTCTTATTTTCTTTGTAATAATTGTTTGCATTCTTAGTGCCTTATTTGTTTACTTGTCAATCCTGTTTGGTGCTTATACAGCTTAAGTTGTCGGATATGTTTTCTATGCCGGTCAAGTAATACTGTTGTGACCATTTTTGATATGTTATAGTAATTATGGGATTTGTTTTTGTTGTTGCTGCAATTTATAAATGTGGTGTAAAAAAGTGCTTTCTTTTGTAGTACAGTCAAAGTCTGAATAACTACACAGATAAAGTTAACACTGTCTGTCATGCTCAATGTTGAAATGCTTAACTTTATCAATTAATTTATGCTAATTATGTCTCATTAAAATATTTTATCAAATGAGCTATTCCAGGAAATATTTAATATTTTTTTCTTTTAAACAGATCACATTTATTAGTTCTTGGATAATAATTATTTAATAAATAATAGAAACAATATATTTAATTTCAATTTGGCTCAGTATATGTTTTAATATTTATTGTAATAAATTTAATGAGTGACCACACAATCAATCAACAAACAATACATCACTGAGGCAAACATTGGAGCAATGTTGACCAAAGTACACAAGCAGTGTATTGTGTGGCACACTAATTGTCTTTCAATGTACATTTTGTTTCTTTATTTATAATAAATAAAGAATAATAAATAATATTAATCTACATTTTAATGCATTCCTAAACCAGTCAATCTGAAAAGTTGTTTTCGTTTTTAATTTTAAGTATGTTATTTTCAGTCTATGTATGCTTATTATTAAAGTATTAACAAGGGGCAGTGATAAGCAATATTTACCATATCACCATGCACTGGAACAGCTCATTAGTGAACTGCCGCTTGTTGTAAGTTTGTTATAGTCAGTATTTTTTTACATAACTCTATCTATCTATCGATACAATTAATAAAACTGGAGTGTTTGTATGTAATATAAACATTTTGCTAACATAATATATATGTGTTGCTTACACCGAAAATCCATTTTTTTGATTTTTGCTTGTCTGTTCACTTGTCCCCAATTGTTCCATGTGATCTCCGAAAAAGCTTGGCCAATTTTGACGGGACTTTGAAGGAATAGTAACTGATGCATGCAGACATTTAGTTATTAAACAGCTTGTTATGAAAAATTTCTAAAATTATTAAAAATGAACAAAGGTACACAATGTGACTATATGTGCACTCTGTGGTTAGTAATTTAGTTGTCTAAGTCCTGAACTCTTGCAATACATTAGAGAAAAATTGACATCACAGAATATAGGTGAACCCAGCTTTTGGCGGAAGTGTTTCATTATAGCGAGTCCCCGCCTTGCGCAATTCCGACGTCTTAGGTCTCAACGCATTCATCGTCAATTTATCGCAAGACCGATAGACCAGAGAGCGGCGAGTCGTATATTGAGGCACTTATATGTTTCTATAAGTATACTCGAATTTAAAAAAAAAAACCCTTTGCCATCCTTGTTTACATTCGAAATGGGATATTACATAGTAAACTCACAGTATGTAATGTTCCTGGAAATACCGTAATCTTAGGTTTCTCATGAGTAAAGTTTTACTTCAAAAAACTTTGTCCATAGATATAGGCTTACTGACATGTTTAATTAGATTGTGACTCGATCTTTGTATTATTTTGTAATGACATTCAAAGATACTCGGTGTCAGTGCTGCAGAGCTCAACAAAGCGCGTTTATGTAGCGTGGGATCGAACTTGGGACGTAATCCGTTACGTGATGCATTGTGCACGCAGTTCGCACGGGGGCGGGGGTGGGGCGCGGTTGCGCTTCTCTGCAAATGAGAACGATATCGGCAATATTTGACTAATAATTATAACTTACAGGCTGACGCGAAATTTAAAAAAAAAAATGGAAGACTTCTACATTTACATCGAGAGAGTGGCGGGGAGTAGTTGACCTTCACCTTCACTGTCTCCGTTATTAGCTCATTACCTTCACTCTGCCGACGACCGCGGCTCAGCATTGGCAGCTATGAGACCGTAATCGTATTGTAATGACGTCATGAAAGTTATCTGATTACCATACAAACATCAAGTGATGATCGGCGACTGTCTTTACAGTTATAGTCTGCTGAGTCCGCGTCACGCACTCACTGACCTATCATGTCACACTTACTCTTATGTTCCCTTAATTATAGCTCGACTGTACTTCGATGTTATTTAACAGTGTTTATTGTATGATGAATTCGGACAAGTTACGAGTATTTTGTTATAAAATAACTCTAGAATGGATAATGCTTTTTTTTAAATGCGTGGATTTATTTTTACAAACACAAAATTGTTTTTAATATATCTAAATATATATATTTTAATAATACAAAACAAGTATTCTCGTCCTTCGGATTGATGTTAGTTTTGTAAAACATGAAAATCACAATAAATAATATTGGTTGATAAATATCTATCATGTTGAAGTATTATAGATCACACAAGCTGTTATTATGTTAAATTAAGACAACATTACCTTTGTATGAGATACTGATTGTCCTTTTAATAACAGATTGAATCGTAATCAAACTAGCAAGTTAAATTTTTTTTTTAGATAATTGAGGCCTTATATTACGGCAGAACACCTGCAATGTTTTTAACAGGTGGTAATGATCATTTAGTGCAGATAAAATTATAAATTTTACAGTTTGCGCAATGTTAGTACATAAAGTGCAAGCGAGCGGCGCTGCGCTCACCTTGAGCCCAACCGTGCCGAGCTGCGTCGACTGTGGCAGACGCCGGCTTATGGTCTTATAGTCCGTCCCTTCGTCTGCATCTGTCATAAGTGAACATGATGATATTATTCCTTTGTATCAAATAGTGCTCAACATTCGATACAGTTAAATTCTATAACAGATATATTTTTAATTCAAACATCTGTAATGAAACATTGGTGATGAGATTTGTTTATTGTGGCGGAGTTGGCTGTCCACAGCGTATCACATCCTGCCGATAGCCGGCAACAGGCTGTGTCTGCACGGAATGGTGACGCTGACAGCTGACAGCCTGCACTGTGACTCAGTAGAGCGACGTTATCTAATTAGTACATTTGTGGACATGTGCAGTAGGGGGCGTGACCCCCGATCCGACTCATTTAATTACAACACTGCTATTACTTAATCCTATTAGCATTAAACATTTGGTAATTTAACCTCTTGTGAGTACTGTAGTCTCTGAAATGTGCTCATTCATAAGTCTTTCGTGTCGAGGCATTATTTATTCCGCACCCCTTTTGTTTTAAAGTTTTTAACCATTTGGTTTCAGTTGGTTATTAGTCGATCTTGGGGAAGGCTTCGTCGTTTCATGTTTCGCTGCTGCATCCTTATTTGATTCTTATTTGAAAAAAGGAAATAACTCACAATAGCACATACTATGAGAAGTAACCAGTAGATCCATCCCGTAACAGCAACGACCTCTGGTGACTACATATACTAATCTTTTGGGCGATTGATATGTCACGCGGCGATGCCCCTTTCCTGTGACATTGTTGCTTTATTTGTATTCGCCGCATTGCCACGCTCACATGACTCTATGAACAGTCGTGTGTCCCCCTCACATTTCTACTATAATAATTCAGTCCACAACTGAAACCTCTACCAGAAAGTATAACAGAATTGTTGTTATAATATTTTTATAGGCGGTAGCTTTGCTCATTAGGTAACCGGGGCGTAGATCAGTGGTAATTATGTTGCGTCTTGTGACGCCACTTGTTTACTGACTTGTATGTCTCATAGTTATCCTTAATGTTAATATTAGTACATTACAAACTTACAACACTTCCTATCTACGTCACGGTTTGAACTACAATCTTAATTAATTGTGGCTCCAAAACAAATTAAAAATACCTTGTCTCATGTTTAAAATAGTAGGTGCTTGGGCATGATATATCAAGCGAACATGAGTTGTAATGATACAACGTGCATCTCTTTGTTGATCAACCATCACCACTTAGACATGTATGCATCAATCAGTTTTATCCATGCGTTGTATTGTTTACACCATCTGTTACTGCGGGCTCTATGTAAGGTGTGTTGTGTTGGTGTGTGCAGGTTTGGGCGCGGCGCAGCTGGCGCTGGCGGGCAGCATGGAGCAGTTCGAGTTCGCGTGCATCGGCGCCTCCATGACGGAGGACGAGCGCGCCATCGGTCACTCGTTGCAGCACTTCGCACACCTCATACGCACCGTCGAGGATGAACGAGAGCGCATGGTGAGTACAAGGGATCAACAAGCAGCAGAATCAGCGGGTTGTCTATTATTAAGTAATCCTATCAACCAATAAACGTTCATAAGAATAAGAAGAATTTCAGATTATGTTGCCGGTTTGGAATAACTTAAGTCTCCAATGCTAATATGTTTAGAAACTTGGATTACTTAATTAATTGTGTTTTTATTAATTAATAAATGACTTTTTGATATGAAACAGCTTTTCCAAAGAGTATTAGAAATCATATAATTAATGTGCATGCATTTGCGTATAGTTGTCGTCACTCAATCAGTGCGCATTATGTTAATGTAGGCGAGAAAGTCGCCGCCGCCACCAGCACTGATAACTATGCTATGTTGATACACATGCACATACAATTTAAACTGCTTTTTACCTAGGGTAGACACTAGCCACCTTATTTAATAAGGACCGAACAAAGAACTAGAGTTGATCTAAAAGTAATCATAAACAAAGTGTAAAGAAATGTATGAATAGGTTTATGCAGTATGCACTTCGTTAAGTTTATTCGGGCAACGTGGTTTATAAGAATTGATAAATGTAACAACTAAATTAAACAGCAAGGAAGGATTTATTTTGTTGGGTACATATTGTGTTGTACAACCATAGTTGTATAATCAAAATAAAGCATGTTTGTAGTATATCAACTAAGTTTAATTTTGACGAATCGTTCCTTACGAATGTAAACATAAGTTGGATGCATATTTTAAACAAAAACATAAAAGCGAATGTGCATTGTATAAATATGCAAGTGATGAGTGCCATGTGTCGTGTTGTCGAGCGTGGGAGCAGACTCGGGTGTATGACACTACCTCGACTCCACTGACATGAAAGTAACAGTCGCCACGTGGTAGCGATTCTAGTTGTAATACTGACACCATGACAACGATATTCTGTGTGTCTGTATGTTCGTCATGACATTGCAACAGGTGAAACACCGGTAACCAAAATCTTTGAAGTCTTTTTATTTTTCATACCATACACACGGTAAACTGATTTTTAAATTTGGTCATAAAAATATTTTTTCCTTAAAACTTAACAAGCTAGTTTTACGAAAAGATTAGTACGAAACCTTATTATAGTTGGCTCGTAGCCAGTTTTTATAAAGGCATTTACGTTTGAGCAGGGTTTTAAAGCCAGAGCTTTGTGTGCGGTAAGCCTAAATAGTGAAGAGTAACCTATGTCGCTAGCTCCCTCAGGAGGCTCGGGTCGATATTATGATATTATCTTATTAGGAGCATAGCCTTATCTAGTACGAGGTGTACAGTGCTACTAGAGGGTCTTATCGCCTCCGGAATGTGGGTCAACTACTTACCTGTTCCGCGGAGATAAGTTCATAGTGTAGGTGATAAGGCGCGGCGCGGCGGGTACACACTCGCTATGTATTGCACAATGAAACCGTTACTGTCACCTCTATAGCTGTTGGTCTACCACGAATAATTGTGATAATCGCCTTCTCAAAGTGATCCTGTAAGAGTTCCGTATTTTTCCTTTCGAGGTACAGAACCCTAAAAATTGAAAAGTTTTCGGAAACAATTAGGCGAAAATCTATAATATAATTAGTACGTGTAGGTCAACAAAAACAAGAGTGTGGTGAAATCGAAGGCGGACTTCCGGCTCGACCTTGGCAGCGTTGGAGTGCGCGGGCACCGGTGACCGGTTCACCTCCGCGCACACAAATAGAAAGGACAAATATTATACAAATCGTTCACTTAATGCACTTTCAATGTTGACATTTTAAATTAATATCTGTTATTTTTTGTCAGCGTAATCCTTGAAACAATTTAAATGTAGCATTTAAATATATTAAAGAGATGCGTTTGGCGCTAAAATTATTGTATTCGATGTCGAATTTTGTCGAATCTTGAAACCTTATGTTTTACTGTACATTGTACACATATGATTTCTCCAATAGAAAGAGAAAACCGTTGTCAGTTGCTAATACAGCTGTTGACGTCAGAATAATATTTAATGCGAGGAAAGTTGTTCGTCTCTGAAGAGACCGGTTCATAGAAAGTGAGGAAAAACTGCGGCTGGGGCATGTGCCTACTGCCCACACATCTGTCGCACCATTGATCATAAAATAGTAAAATAGTGCGTAAAAATATTGTTATTGCATTTGTATGTGGATCGAGATAAGTCAATCATGTTACATGCTCCACCTTGTTTCATTACATTGTCCCAAGTTGGTTTTGAATATTTGCCGCTAACTAAAATAACATGTACGCGTATACTTGATGTACATATTCAAAATTGTAAACTATGCAAATTTCTTTTCCGCGGTTTGCAACCCCAAGACGCACGAGTCGCAAGCCGCTCCGCTCATCTGAGACAGCCGCAAGCCGGGGTCAGCGACCGCGCCCGCGCTATCGATTGCACGCGGACGCGGTCGCCGCACATCCTTGCCAATTTGTAAATATAAACATTTACAAACTGTGTGTCAGAGATAACATTTTTCTTGACTGTTTGTTGGCAATTATTTGTAGACAATTTTAACGGTTTTAGATTTTGAAGCAAACGTATTTGATTAAAGACAAACGTGTTGCAATTTTTATGTTATAACACTTTATAATGAGGTAGACTGTAATATATTGTTACTGTAACACACTGTAGTAGTTGTGACAAGGGCGGCAATCACGTGATAACGCGTTAAGTGAGCGAAACGTTACGTGCGACGTCGCTAGTTGTAACTATGTCGCATTTGTCGCAATACTCGTACCTCTCAGAGATAACACTGATGATATAATGATAATGATCGATTGTTCATACATCAGCCCAATGACTATACCTCTACAAACACATATTGACTTGATTAAAGCCAGGGAAAGAGAAATTATGTAACATATACAATTATGTTTGTGTTGTAGCGCCAAAATAGAAATAAATGAACATACTCGGCAAACGTTGCAAAGTTAAGAAATGCTACCAAAGTGAGACAATGAATAAGTGGTAAATGATTTAATTTGTCTCTATCGATTGTGAATTTAATCGGAAATATTATAAACTGCCTACACTACGCCCGTGGAAAAATAGTGCACGACCAAAGGAGCTAGGTGATATTTCCTTAAAAGCAAAATATACAAACAAGATAATTATTTAAAATAATAACATTAATATAAAATGTCATATCGTAATCCTTTCAGCAAGGTTATATACGTAATCGCGTGTTGATTATATCGATAACAATGAAAACTGCGCTTTACAATATTTGAGTACGGCAGGCAAACCTTGATTCGATTCGCACGCGATAATTTCATGAATAAACAATGAAAAACCCGCGCAACAAATTGATAATAAGTTGAACGAATCAAGAGCGGTGCTTCTAAATTCATATTCACACCGGCGAGCGGGATTAAATGGTGATGACGTCATCTACTACCAATTACGTATACGTTCTTGCGATGTCAATCCAAAAGATTCAACAAACCGTGGATTCTAGGCAAAATATAATGAATTTTTAATGTCGCATAATTACATTATAAAACCGTACTCAAGTTCTTTGCGTTCACAGGATTCTTTTGGAATGAATATAAATATTATCTTTATAATACTGTAAATATTATTATACGACTGTAGATTGTATGAACATCCTACTCGAAAGACCATATAGGCTCAGAGGTTGAATTCATTGCTGATTCCATTGCTCATCAGTGATCCCGTATCAGGGAAGCTGTGCCATTGCATTAATGACTCCCGGCACCACTTGAGACGACTCGACTAGACGAGGGGGGTAAAGAGCGGTAGAGGGGGGGGGGCGGTAGCTTGTACATACCGCACCTATGTCCTGAT